GCTAGTCAACATCCTCGCCAGGTACCAGGGACAAAACGCAACATGCTCTATGGCTCCTATCGAGGGTGGTGTGTTCCACACAGCCTGATGTAGGGGATTTCGTGAGGGTGCAGAAGGCATGTGGGTCCCTACCGTGAAGCCCAAACAGCGAGAATCAAAAGGTTGTTCGAATATAGCATTTGAGATCCTTGACATACTTGAATTGCATATACTTAGCTGACTTAGCTAAGTCTTAGAAGTCAAAGCTAACTCAAACGCTAAACACTATAGGATTTAGCTTTGACTTAGCTAACCTGACTAAACTCTACAATATCTACAATAGTTGGTAAGTCGACTCTAAGTTTGACCTAACATCCATATAGTCATTTAGAGGTCATGGAAGTTATAAATAGAACCAAGGTTAGAGGCTAATATAGAAGTTAATAAGACAGTTTAATGAGAGTGATAATTTGGGTGATAACTTTGGCAAGGGAACGTGCAAGTAGGAAGTTGGGTAAACCTCCAGAACGCCCCGAGGGCGGCGTTTCGTCCATGGCGCTGTCAGCACCTCTTCGGGCGTCTCGTCCAGTGCATCAGGTCCATTGGGCCAGTCCTCCCGGTGAGCCTGACCGATCGAGTAAGGTTTCTTTTGGGGGGAGGCTGGGGAGGTCTCACTTCCATGTATGACTTTTTTTGGAACGCTTCAATGCACCATGCATGGATATATATATATATATTAATATATTAGTATTATATATATATATATATTGATTTAGTAACATCATAATATGTATATACCTGGACCCTCCAGGTTGTACCTTAGAAACTCTTTGAAAATTGCACATACCCCCAAAACAGGTACTTGGTGGTACGACTGTACCCACGTCCAGTCCAAGTCATATTGTATATTTATGTGACCATTTCACCTTGGATTTGCATAAGGAAAGTTGCACAAAAGAAAACAGATTCCCCAGAAGGTGATTTACCCAAGCGGAGATCAAACAGCTACCACCACATCCTGGGCGTTTTGAGGTTCCACCTCAGCGCTCGCGTCGCACATCGACTGCATCCCCACACCCTACGACGGTGTGGGTGAAAGGGGCACCCCTTGAAGGGCACCCAACCACCACTATGGGCGTTTGAGAAGAACACAGGACGATGGTGCGAAGCTTTGGCTAAAAGTTGGGTCCACATTTGGGGAGCTTGGAAAGCTCCCAGGCCGAAGTGTCCCCTGAAGGAGGGCCCTTCCAGTTCGCTGCGCGAGATCGTCCGTACGTGATTGGTTAATATTGGTTGGAGGCCACTCCCCACAGCATGAAAACCCCTTTCTTACGTTTCTTATAGGTTTCTGCTGTTGGACACTAAGCTCATCTAAGCTTGGCCTGCTAGGTCGTTGAATCCATCTTTTTCCACGGCCTGCAACTGCCGCAGATTGGACACCACAGTCAGAAAGGCCGCCAGTCCCGTAAAGCCAAGGACCAAGCGAAAGGCACTGCACTTCATGGCGCTCAACCGTCACCGCCGTCACCCACCAAGAGATGATTTTTTGAGACCTGAACTGCGACCCGAAGAGCTGTGGTACATGGCGAAAAAAGGCGGTTCAACCTCTCGGTGGGCTGCTAATGCGGACGATGGCGGGGAGTACGTGGTTGGCCCAGGTTGCGTCTGGAGTTGGTACTGGGGTTGGTGCATGCCAATTGGGCTGGAATTTTGAGGGTGGGGTGGCTGAGAAGGGGGGTCGGGAATCTTCCCTTCAACTGCTACTATTCCTGCAAATTGCCCTCTTGAATGCACTGAACTACACCAAACTGAAATGACAAAAACCTGGTTGTTTAGTCCGCAAATGTTTCGATGTGTTTCGCCGCTAGTCCGACGGTATGCCATCGAAGGCGTCTTTTCTGGGCCCCTTTTCCTTCACTCAGCTTCACAGTACGCAAGTGTCTTTGCCTCACTCGAGTCAAAAACAGAAGAATAGTTCACACCTTGTTGCATGAATATGGGGTATACGCTGATGATGGTTAGTAAAGAAACAACTGTTAGACCAACTGTTAGAGGGAGCAGGACAAACCAACTGTTAGAGGGAGCAGAGCCGCACACGCGGCTACAACGCTCTGTTTTTTCTTTTCTTGTTTTCGCAGCAAAGCAACACCGAGAGGGGAGGGGGGGGCGTGCATGTCCGCATGTCGTTGAGTTGGTTTCTTGAGTCTGGAAGCGCTGCGGAAGTCGATTCTTTCAGCACCTCGTTGCTCGACCCAGGTTCATTTGCAGAAGTCTCCATCTTTGGTTGATTGGATGCTCAGTCCTTGATCTGTGCTCAGTCCCTTGATCTGATGTTTTCGAGCTCGAAGGATTCTTTGAAGAAAGCTGACCCATGGATGGCAGCTGAGCACTCACAGCACGAGGAGACGCCGATCTCGGCCTTCTTCATGCTTTGTGAGGGATATGTGATATGCAGTTCTTTCAGTCTGGTAAGGAGTTCCTCCAATCAGAACGTCCAGGAGTCCACTCGAGACCACACCGATGCCGGTTGCAACATGGGAGACTGAACCGCTGACCTGCTTGGATCTCGATCTATGTCTCTCCCTATTCACTGCACACCAATGAATTCCCCATCCAGCATCCATATTTACCTGCATTGGGGTGGCTGACCTGGGGTCAATGTAGGCATATGTTCCAGTCCCATGGATGGTCTGGGATGGGAAGCAGCATACCAAAAACACTCCACTGGACTGGCATCTTTAAACCTACATTGGGGCGGGTTTGGGGTCAGTCAATCCGAGTTCTATGGCTCATGCCTAGGATGCATAGCGTAAAGATTAAAAAAAATAACAAACACCGCGAACTGGAAACGCGAGAGCCCCACTGCCAGGGGTGTTGAATGGACACCCCTTAGGGACACCCCAAATGGGGGGCTTTCCAAACGCAGGAATCTCATGTCCACGTCGACTGTCGAGCCCGCCAGTGTAACCCAGCGAAGGGTTCCGGTGGGTGAGAGTGTGGCCAGGGATACGCCTGGGTGGGCCGCTGAGGGGCCACTCCAACCCGGTGTTTCTGAAGTGAAGGTACTTGAAACCACCCTTAGTACCAAAATGGGACATGACTCACATGAGAATTACATGAGCGATCATGAGCGTATTCAGTCAGGTACGACTGGGGTCTCCAATAGGTGGCCAGCTGACCCCCAAGCCGTTTCCCTGGAAAGTATCGGTCGACCGAACTGTTCACCCGTTGGATTTGAGTGGGAAAACCCACTAACGGCTTTTTAGATGATCCACCTTTCCCCTAGGGATCCAGTCGTACCTTCTCAGGTTCGGTACGACTGGACCCTCCAAACCTGCATAACAGTGTATCCTTCCTCACCGTACCTGAGAAGGTATGACTAGATCCCTAGGGTTCTTGGGCAATTATGCACATGATATCACATTGAGCGTATTTCATCGGGTCAAACCCTATACCCTTTCTTCCCCAGGCACGAACTGGTGGACAGTGAACACACGCCCTGACACGCCATGATGCCCCTCAACCCCATCCTTTGATCTCTTCCGCGGGCCGCGCGCTCCGCTACCCCCAGAGGCCCGGTGCAAGGGATCCCTCGGGCAGAGGCCCGGTGCAAGGGATCCATCCGGGGATCGACTGCAGAACAGAGTCGACTGCGGTGTTCGACGTACTACTGATCGAAATTGCCGATATGATCGGCTTGATCTAGGCATATCTGAGAGTACTGGGCAAAGACCTGGAGTCTCAGTTCGTGGGAAAATGGGGGCCCGCTCATACCTGTTGGTTGTTCAGGTCCTATTTTCCAAGGTACAAACTGGAGGGTCTAAAGAAATGCAAATTGTCCGAGCCTCATGTGGTCAAAGCAGTTATAGACTACGTATAAGCAATGCCCAGCTCATGAACCTAACAGAGGTGTTGATACAGGCCCATCCATCCCGCGTGTAAAGTCTAAACATGAATGAACATCCTCTCCTCAATGATTCTCTAGCTTTTGATTCACAAGTTTAGACACATTTAGGGTGATGTGCCATGACTTGATGCCTTGAAAGCAAAGGACACCTATCTTTGAGTTCTAACCTGAGTGACCAGTGACACGTGTTCTTGTCGCAACCACCCAAAACCTGGCCTTGGCCTGAAACAAGGATTCCTTTTTGTGGCTTCGGAATGGGGACTACTACTGCACTGCTGCTGCTACTACTGCTACCATCACTTCTTCTTCTTCTTATTCTTATTCTTCTTTTTCTTCTTCTTCTTCTTCTCCTTCATCTTGGCTCCTTGCACCTGTACTGCCTGAGCCCCAAAACCTGCCAGGGAAGTAACAACTTCGCCAACCCCCTGTTGCGACTCGTGTTCTGACTTCCGCCAGCGCCTGTCTTTGTACAAAAGCCCCCGCCTCCTCCGGGCACGTCGAGCGTCCCACTTTGTGCCAGGCACAAGAACCAGGGCCGCTCTGAAGCCCACTGGAAGAAGCCGTACTTTTTCAGCAGCTGGCCACAAATCTCACAGGTGGCGTGAGTAGAATCGATGGTAGAATCGTCGTCAAAACCAGGGCCGCTCTGCTTCACCCTGGGAGGTTCACCATGTCTGAGACCATGTTCTGTGGGAAAAAGAACACAGGGTCCTCCAGTTGGACCCACATCCATATTTACCCTTTCTTTACATATCTAATATGTCAATTGCAGGAAGTTGATTTACCCATAGTAAACATAAACAATCACCTTCATTCAGCAAAACCCGGTATTTGCTCTAGCTGTTACCAGCTTCTTCAAAGTCACCTCATTGGAGTCCCTCAGGCCGCCTCAGGCCCCAGTTCCTTATGCTATGTTTGTCTCCACAGCTCCGACACGGGGCACGTCACAAGATGTTTGGCCTATGATCACAGGATCTTCACAGGATGTTTGGCCCGGCTTTGCGCGCAGAACACCTTACAACACCTGTGCTTCCCGTCACAACTGACGCATCATTTGGGCGGTGTCCTGTCATGATCTGTCATCCGAGCTGTTCCAACTCCACCCATGAAAGCCTCACCTGGTAGACTCACCTGGTCGTCGCCTCAGCACTGAAGCATGCGGCATCAACCAAAGAGATGGATCTTGGTTCGGTGGAATGCAAGACATGGGTGGCTTTCAGTTCTTTGAATGTTCTTAAAACTGGTGTGTGGGGACAATGCAACATATAATATAAAAAAACACACTAGAAACATTGGTTCATGTTGTTCACTTCTCATGTGCCTGTAGGGTGGGTTCGATTGCTTGAATACCACCAAATGGGCTCTATACCTCAGCAATGCATGGCTCAATATCGATTGGTATTGAAGACAAAAGCAAACCAGTCAGTTCTGGCAGTGGATGTTCAACGGAACGGAACACCACGAGACTTTGAAAACAACAGGGACTATTGAATAGCTGCAAGCTTCTTCATGTAGTGCATCCTTCTCGGCTGGTTCTGAAAACGCTGATGTTCCCCTGAATGAGGGTGGTCTGTTTCGGACAGTTTCTGAAAGAGTTGTAAAATGCTGGCCGTGCAACAGCAATTCAAGAACCAGCCAAATTGGTCGTTCAAAACTTTCTGAGTTTGGTGGGCTTCGTGAGATATCCATATGATAACAAAGTCTGTCTGTCCTCTGGTATCTGGTGTTGCTTGAACCTCAAATTGTGCTTAAATACATGTAAATACCCGGAACCTGAGTGACAGCCGTTTCGGCCTATTTCAGAGTGCCAAGCAAAAAGCAACTAACACTGCCTGGCTCAGCCATTTGGGCACTGGGAAAAGGATGCCTACACCAGGCGCATTCCGCACGTCCGCTGAGCCAGGCGCAGGTCATCCCAGATGTTCTCGTAGACGTGAGGCCAACGACACCACCTGAGGCTCGCAGACATTCGTTTGCAGCCTGCCGTCAGATTCGATGGGAGTCCAGTTTTTGGAGTCGACCATGTGAAAGCACCTGTTTTGCGTTCGGAGTATCGTAGCTGTTCTTGGATCGTGTCATGTCCCATTTTCTAGGGTACCGAGACGTCGGGGTCTAGGTATGTTCACCAAGTTCGGTTTGTTGACCTTGAAATGAGGCTTGATGTGATTTGATGCGTCATAGCTCCTGGATTAAATCCGATACAAACTCCTAGTTTGATACCACAGTTTGATACCACAGTTGCGCTTGATGGTGCAGGCTTTGGAATAGCTTGGTGTCTCAGCTCCAACTCTCTTTCCTCCAAACAAGAATACGGTCAACATCTGTGCAAATCTAAACTCAAGTGAGTGGAACATATGCCAACTCCTACCACCTCCAGAAACCACCCCTTCCAGTACCCAAAACTTCGGGGTGGTGATTCAAGACCCGAAAATCACCTCAGACCTTTGGGGGCTATGGATCGCTGCTGACGATCCAAGGAACCACCAGGACTCTGGACTAGACATCGCTATTAACTCTAAGCCTAATATAGGGGCTAAGGCCCACTCTTCGTTTAATAGGCATTTTGCCAAACCACCACTACCTTACTAAGGATCTAGCTAACGATGTTTTCCTATACCAAGCCCGGTCAACCATTTGTTTAAGGGTCTTGGAAGTCTAATTGCATCTAATTGCGATTAATTACATACTTTCTCCACTGCTCGTCCTGAAGTCCTGCAACCGTGACCGATCTGGGGCCGTATGCTTGCACACGTAGAGGTATTCGCTCTCCTGTGAGCCGCCGGACCGAAAGCCACTGGAGCGATGAAACCAAGCGGACCGGTGGCAGGTCTTTCAGTGGTATGAAAGGCTCAATAAAGCCCTGCCGTTCGCTAAAGCCGCTCGTGTTTTTGACCACAGACCTCGAACAATATGCAGCAGTTTGTGGGTCCATGAGCTTCTGCGTGGTAAACAGCTGTTGATACCTTTAGTATCCTTTGTATTTCACGGGACAAACACAAACCCTAAGGGTCCAGGACCATGTTGAGGATGTCCTTTGGCCTCAAGGACCATTCTCAGGAGGTACCTGGACCCTATGGGAAACAGGTATCATGTTGTTTGTTGTTGTCGTCGTCGTCGTCGTTGTTATTGCTGTTTTTCTTTTGATTTATATAAGACACTTCAATTGCACTGGGAAACCCGGACCATTGACATTCATTGACCCACTGGTCAAATCATCCATGTGTAAACTGAAGATTTCCTAGAGTACACACGGTGGAGGCCATCGCTATTAGGTTGGAGTACACACATGTATACACACTCAGATCACCTGCTCAGTGGAGACTCGAGACTCACCTCTGCACACCCGGTCGACCACCTCTGCAAACATTTTCCATCCTGGACCATCCATGTCTTGGATCTCCTGTAACCTCAGCACCGACTATTGACCCTCCCGCAAACTACCATTGAACCTGAGAATTGCCCAGTGGTTCCTTCCATATTCCTCTACAACCCAATGCTTTTGGGTTCCATGTTCATCTGCAGGGTCAGGAACTGGAGATACGAATTCACCTTGTGACCGAGGTCATTCACCCATTTTCTGAGGTAGGAAAGGGTCGACTCTAGGTACGAACTGAGAGTGGACCATCCCAGTCTAGCAGACACCTCGTTTCAATACCCGTGGCCCTTTGAAGGATTGATCGAAACAAACAGTCAAAGTCAGAGTGTCCAACTATTGTACGAATCCCGAAGCATCACTGGATGGGACTAAACACCACCCCTTTGTGACCCCTGGGACAAGGCAATTTGCCAGAGTGACTTCGCACAAATGTCTCTCTCCAGTTCGGGTCCCGGTACCTCTTTTTGGATGGTCGGTCTTGCAAGTTTTTTTTGCACGTACGAAACAAAAAATCTTTCAAATAAAAATGTTGGAACTGGAGCGAAACTGCTAGGTTTTTGGACCCTTAGGGCTCCGAGATATCACCTCCTATTCATTCCTCACACCTGACCTCCAACCTTCCCCGCTTTCCCAAGTCCGCTCCGTGCAATTGGGCAGAACACTGCTGACGTAGTACGGCACCCGTTCCAAGTACCTGCAAAACGGAGTAGCCAAGTGGAGTATGGCACTCTCCAGTCAGTGTTGGGATAAATAAATATATATATATGTATGTTCGGTGCCTACCCCAAGCAACACCTCTGCAGCTGACAGGACTATCCGGGCGTTGTCCGGATATCTGGAGTTTCTGCAACCACAATAAGGCTCCAAGTACTTCAGAAGATGGATAAAAAGTTTGCATATATTGAGCAGTCAGCATATAAGCACAGTGGTTGGTGCTTCCACCTGGCTCAGGCAACCCTCGCGGCCGCAGAGAAGATCAGACCTACATCAACACATGACTCCGTAGATGGGCCAAAACGATCTGGCAAATAGTGTGAAGTACGAGTTGGACCTATTGAAGTTGCAACGTCCCGGTCAAACTCAAGCCTTTCTTTTTGGAGTTCCGACAGGTCCACGTTCTCCATCCACCTTAAAGTGCTTTGAAATCTTGAAACAACAGCTCTATCAAAACGTGGCGCAATACTTTTGAATTAGTGGTGCTTGGCTGTGGCGCCAGAAGCGGTGGATGATGTTGGTGGTTGTGAGGAAGGAGATGGTCTCTGCGGACTCTTCACGCGTCATCATCATCATGATCATGATCATGATCATGATCATGATCATCATCATCATCATCATCATCATCATCATCATCATATCTCCACGCTGGCATGGCTGCCCACTACGAAGGAATCAAAATTCTTGAAGTTCCATGACTGTATATATAGGTATTGCGTGTGTCAAGCGCTTTGTGGATGTTGCCTCATTCTTAGAGCTCTTTGCTGCAAAGCAGAACCAAAAATCACTAAATGGCCGTGTTACGTGGTTTTGACGCAGCAAGCAATAAACTTTGACAACAAAGTACTATTCCAAATCAAACACCCACTTGCTATTTGGAAGACACCCGGCTCAAGCTAGATGAGCCTAAGAGCGTCAAAATGCTTTTTGAGTGTTTGTTTTCGAGTCCGTGTTTGCATTCGGGTTCGTGGGTTCCACTTTTTTTTTGAATGTCGCGGTATCCCCACCTCCTGTCTTCACGAGTCACATACCACGCAGTGTGGCCTGCAGAGTTGTTGTGCTTGGTTTGTCGCAACCATTTGGTAGCGGAATTGCAAAAGAAAGGGATTGTATACAGCAGAACGACTGCTGCAGCCATCGGTCTGCACACGAAACTTGGATCTTTTCTCTGGCCCTGGTATAGGGCAGCCATTTAGACTTCAAAAATGTAATTGTGGCAACAAAACCAGCCATCGGTGGAAGCATCAAACCTAAAAAATGACGCGGTGCTTCTTATCGTCTGTCATTACAGGTGAGCAGCTCTCAAAACCTGTGGCATCTGCCTATGTCGTAAGAATTTGCTTACGCCACTGCTTAGGCTGTGCTTACACGACCACAATGGCAGCTTACGCCGGAAGTTCTTGCAAGAAAGGGCTTACGCAACACTTATATACGCCAACAAGTTTTAGCACGAAACCGCAGCAGCAGCTTACGCGCCATCTAGTTTACAAGCGAAGCGGACAGTGAGACAATTACACTACACAGCAGAAGATGTCGAGGACGAAGACGAAGTTGATTAGCTGCAAGCGCTGGAACGGTTGGCAATCTGTTCGTAAACGGTTTGGACAATGCGTTGTCTTTGGCGCCATTGTAGTTCAGAAAAGGATAGAAAAGGGCTTTTTTGGAGGCATCGTGGGCTACTGTCTTCAGCGGCGACGTAAGCTTACGCGGGGCTTACGCGGAGCTTACGCGGATTTCCGACACCAAACCCCAAACTCAGAATAACCGGAACTTGGTATAAACAGCCTGTGTGTCTTCGACCATACTTCTGTCTCACAAACATGCATGTTTCAGAAGTTTACTGACCCTGTCTAGCGTAAATGATTTATGCCATGTTGGAAAAAAGCTTCAGCTCATGCAGCTTACGCAACTCCTATCTCCCACAAACAGCTTACGCAACCTTACGCGCATCAGTGTTTTGCTTACGCAGAAAATTCATATGACAAGCACACCACTAAACATGAACAGGGAGGCTTATAGAGTGGCTCAGGTGACCAGTTCTAACTTCAAGTTGAAGGTTTAGTGGTGCTGGGGCTATCATAGACCCTATGACAGGGGAGTCCTAGGGCTAGCCTAGGGGAGGAAAGGGGGGCGGTCCTAGCCCCTGGTCACACCTCGAGGGCTGTTGAAAAGCGCCGCAAAGGCGACGGCCATTCTTCAAGAAAGCCGTCAACACGCGGCCACGGATGGCATCCGGCATGGAGACTGCCGGGCGTTGAGCACTGTCCCGAATCTTGGCCCGAATCTTGGTGGCTGACATAGCCGCTGTACGGGCCCTGGAGAACTGGAGATGGGTCTTCAACGATTCCCTGGTAGGCTGGGCGGCATAGAGCGTCTCCTGGTCCCTCGCGATGGACAAGGCGAGCTTTTCTTTGGCCGTGTTCTTGAAATCGTCCAGATCGGAAGGTTGCACCTCCTCCCAAAAACTGTGACCCTCACAGCTGTGGGCCACTGAAGTGGCCAAGATCTTGTTGCGAAGAGATTGGGAATATCGGGCCGACGAGTAGTGCAGCGCCATCCCAGCATCTGCCGGCTCCTTTGTCCGGTCTTGCCAGTCCCCCAACGAGCAAAGATCAGTGGGGGACATTCGCAGGAGATGGCCAACTGTCGGGCCTAGGCCCTATGATAGGGGGGGTCCTAGGGCTGGCCTAGGCCCTATGATGTCCTAGGGCTAGCCTAGGCCGTATTTGTGGGTCTCAGGACTAGCCTAGGCTGTATAATAGGGGGGGCCTAGGGCTAGCAGAACCAGCCCCCTATACTCCCCGCCTAGGGGGGTAGTAATTAGGTCAAGGTAACCCCTCTCAGGGGACTTCTGTGTGATTAGAAGGGGATCAATTTGATACCCTTTGGTTGTTCGCGAGCGGGCGGTATTATCTTCTCCCTAGCGATCCAGTCGTACCGAACCCTGCTGGCCCCACATAAAACAGTGTCTCTAATCACCTTCTGAGAAAGTACGAGGCTGAGGAAGGGTCTATGAATCCACCAGCCGGTGTAGGTGTCATCAATGCTCCCTCTCTCTCTCTCTCTCCCGCGCACGCCACAATCTCCCGCTGCCGGTTGACAGGGTTCGACCTCGGTGCTTCGAACGCGAAGGCTTGGCTTCGACCGGCCACGGCGGTGCAGAACACTGAACGAGCCGCTCCTCCGCCGAAGCTTGATCCCAGGAAAAATCGAGTTAAATCTGGACCAGTCCATACATAGATTGGGAAGCCCTCTCAAAACTTTTAGCCATTGGTTTTCTCCCTTCCGGAAGGGCTGGTCACAGCTTGGCCTTCCCGTCCGGTACCGCCGGTATGTCGACCTGTGAAACCTCGGAGAAACAACCCTGTGATACCTCAGTTCGGGGCGTGTTTCCTACGCTCCTCTTCCTACCCACGTGTGTCCAAAGCAACGAACGTGTCCACGTCATGTCCTTTACGTGTGTGGTCGGATGTAGTCAAAGCCCTGATGGATGGATGATCGTCTATATAAGAGGTAGGAAACAGAAAGCGCTCTGCTGGACCAACTATGTGGAGATTCAGTTCTCTAGTGCAACCGTTTTGTACAAAAGGTCGCCAAGTAAGTACTAAGTCTTGGAACTGTGACTGGATTATTGCAATACGTGCATCAAGACTGGCTTCGGAGGAATGACTTCCTCAAAGGTCAAAAGCAAGGTTCCTGTACACCAAAGAACGCACCACTCTAAGCTGGTCAGGATCTGCAGGTTCCATTCGCGGCCAAAAGGGGAGGCTTCCGTTCAGAAGCTATTCAGGGCCGTTGAGGGGCAACTCGGACAAACACCATCTGGTGTTCCAGGTTCAGTTATCTGAGCAATTTTTTCTGAACCTCAGGATGAAATCCAATCCCAACAGGCCCGCCTGCCTATACTCACCTGCCCATCGCACTTCCCCCAAGGCATCCCTTGAGGTGGCGACACACAAAGGCTGTTCTTGCAGCTGATGTTGGGAAGGTTGTAGATCCTCTCCGGCACCTGGTGAGTCCATCGAATCGTCTGGTTTCCACAGGAAAGTCAACAACAGCTCCACCACATAACTATTAGTTTGGGTAGGGGGACATCAACAACATGAGGACGTTTGAAAGGTCTTTCTTCGACCCGCACAAGTCCCAAAGCGGGTATAGATGGGATTCGACCGGACATGTCTCAACAGAAAGCAAGTTGGTCATTTCGACCTTACACGCCGTCCGTACAACATACCCTAGAGGTGTCCGAACGCCGATCAACCACTGCCGTAGGTCCGGCCGCAGGTGGCAACAAACACAAGCACACAGAGCAACACCAGCAGCCAAAAAACTAACAGCTTTCACCTATACTTGACCATCTGCTTGTATAATGATCAATCCCCTCCACCCATTAAACACACGGCCCCCCCCCCAATAACAAAAACTGAGGTGCATTTTTTACATAGGGGGTCCCTGAAATCGGGTTTGCCCAAAATAGGGTCAGTGGCAGGCTCCTTTTGAATAGTCATTGATTACATCTGAAACGCAGATTTCCTGGGAGGCGCGGCGCTTTGTGAAGCTTGGAGTGCAGATTTCGTGCAAACACCTGGGAAGAGCTTCCAAACCAAAAAGTGTCCCAGGATTTTTTGTATAAAATCCTTAAACTCGTATCAACATTTTGAAAAACCTTCAGATCGAAGGGTCTTCCTTTTTCCTTGATAAAAATCTTTCTTAAAATAATGATGCATTAGACAAACAACTAAAGCTTTCAAAAAGTGATGTCGCTGTGCCATGCCGTTTTGCGCGGCCTTGGTGGCAAGTGCGTTGCGTGAGTCAGTGCCATTGGGGGAGGAAAACCTGCTGGTGTAAACGCGGCGTGTCATGGTGAACAAACAGGGTGGACAGAGGTGGGCAGCTAGGGTTGCTCTTGGAACTAATTCAATAAACTACCCCAAAAATCGACCATGTTGGTAGTTTAGTAGCGGTCTGAAAGGGCGGCAATGTAAAAACACATACAAGCCGTATTTAGGGTTTCGACATGTCTTGTTTTTAATTGGGGAGTGTTTTCTTATATAGGTACTCGCGACGAGTGACTTTTGCATGCAGTGGCCTGTAGCCAGCCTAAAGCCTTCGACATGAACTTCTTCCAGCGTTTTCCGTTCGTCCCCCGCCGTGCCTGGAGGCGATACTTCGCGACCTGGGCAAGTCTGTAAGTGGGATGTCGGATGTGCAGGATCTTCCACCCAAACACATGGATTTCATATCATGTTCAGATGATCTTCATATGATTTTCATATGAGTTGAGCTTCATTGAGCTTCCAACGAATACAATTAGAACACAATCTCTAGGATTTGGGGCTGTAGCTCATGTGAAAGTTTCACACTGCTTCGTCACCCAAGTCCAAACAGATCGCATTGTTTTGAGTGGTAAACTCTTGCCATGTGACAATTGTTACACTCTGACTCACTAACATGGAAATGGAAAAGAACAACAGGGACCATGCTAGCGAGTCAGAATGTAAGACCTTCAGGATCCGTGCTGATCTGCGGAATATTGAGATTCGTTTGAAAAAGAACACATTGTTTTTGTCAAAAGAGATCTGAAAAAAAGGGTGGATGGTCCATCTCCGGACTAGTCCAGCCCTCTCCAGTGTCTCGCTTTTCAGTGCGGCTTGTTCGGACCAAGTGGCCACCTTGGAGTCGTTCACGCAGTTGAAGGTGCAGCCAGGAGCCACGGAGGCCATCATCTGGTCCAGCCGGAGAAGAAACACCCAATGGCCCGGCCGGGACGGTGGACGGCCATGGATCTCGGCTCCCTGATGTCTCAAAACTTCTCGGTGTTTTCCATGTTTTTTCCCCGCCAGCCTGCAAAAAACCTGTCATTCGCAGAGTTCTTTTGCAGGCTTCAAATCACTTTCCAACGGTTCATCTATTCGACCCGCCTTCATCTCTTCAACTCGGAGGCTTTTGTAGTCAAAGCCCGGCAGGGTGAGAATGCCTCCGCGCATCTCCGCGCAAAGAAACCGCTACCATGTCAGTTTCTGAAAAAAAACAACATGACTCAAACATGTTACTTCATAAAGCTAGGGTGATGTTCTGTTTGCGGTAATGGTAGGTACTAACGTCAGTATGCAATCCAAGCTTACCATAAAAGGATGCCTGATTGGAATGACGCAGCTGAATGCGATCGACACTGCAGCTTCTCGCAAAATCTTGAAACTAAAATTCTGGCAAATTCAATTTTGGTTCAACCATGGTTTCCTGGAATTGCAACCTCAAGGAATCAAGGAATACTAACAAATTAAATGTTGGTTCATGAAGGCGCGATCGGTGTCATAACTTTGCAAAAGACTGCAGGAAACGTATCGTCGACAACAAAAAAGAGGAAAAAACGGGTGCCAGTGCAGTTGAACTCAGAAAAACATGGCTATAGTATGATTTTTCTTGAACAAAACCATGTACATCTTTCTGAACAAAACCAGAATGTTCTTGCACCGCATATTGGTTGGGCGCAGCATTAGGCCAAAACCCTTAACCTTCAAATCCAAGATCGGTACATGAAAGCCACCTGGGTCACCCAGCCTGGGTCACCCAGCCTGGGTCTTTTTCCGTGCTCTGCGTATACCAGGACAAACTTTGAAGACCGGGTGGTGGTCCCAACCGGGCGGTTGTCCCAACCTTGCCGGCACCAGCTATCACCAGCCCCAAATCACCCAGCCGCCGGCCGCCTTTGAAGTAACCCGGATTGCCTTTGGAGGAGTAGACACCTGTGGTGCCACTGCCCGGACGAACCTGCCGATGAAGTATGATGAAGTGAGTTCTTTTACGATATTTTACGTATTTGTTTACATGATGTCACCTAACTCACTCATCATGACCATGTCACTTAATTGCAACTGAGGTATGACGACAGCTGAAAATGACATCAAACCAACCACGTCAACGACTACCACCTAACGACTGACTTTACGTTTATCGACGCCATCGATGATGCCAACTCCTACCTCACTGCCTTACCGAGACTCAACTGCAATGGATGTCATGACCACTCAGGCAACTTAACCTGACGACCTGGCGACGTCAATGATGGTCAATGTCAGGAACTATGTCATCATGACCTAATGACTTTTCTAATATCTACGACGACTTGATGTTTTTAGATTCGAAAGATGATCGTAAACAGCAATACCTTCACGGTTAACCACTTGAAATGAAATATATTGTGAACAGTTTTCTATATAAGGAAAGTCTCCATTAGCTGAAGAAAGATAACAAGTGAATGAAATGTTTGTTCGATGTTTTGTTAGCTCATATATTCCAAAAGTTGGCAAATAGATATTCAAATCGCTGTAAATTCAAACCATGCTACCAAAATGAAAATGACAATAATAAGAACGTATTAAGCACTTCAAATTACTCTTTATCACTGAATTGCAAATGACATGGTTCAACTTCTAAACACATTAGATGAAATTGAACAATAAGTAAGTTATACTTGTTATTAATACGTATGTTTCTTATACATCGTCTAATGGTATTCTTTCGGCAAATGCAACAGTAACATTACAACAATTACAAATGAGTGGGCATGTTGATGAAACATTGTATGTTTGTATGTATAAAATATATATTTATCTATATATTTATTTGTTCATCAAAGGCATATCACTTCTACATACAAAATATCAAATGAACATATGGCAACGTTTGCAAACTATTTCATAAACTGTTGCAAATTATTTTGGTGGATTGATTTCCTTGGTGTTTTCTTGGGAACTCTTTGAGACACCGCTTCTTTTCAGAGCGCTCAACTTGCCAAGCAGAAAAAGGAGCCCGAACGCCGTTGACAGGAGATCACCAATCACCCACGAAAAGAGTTTGCCGGTTGGGAGTCAGCTCTTTCAGGCACTAACGGTGCGAGCAAGCGGTCCGACACCCAGGAATTGTTTGAAGACGTTTTTCACCGCATGGATTTCTGTTTATCTTGTGAACATGTCCTTTCTTCCTGCCTTCACTAATTACCTTCACCACTTTCTTCAACATAATGTATTTATAACTGTTAAACTACCAACTACTGCAATATTGCTGTATCCGAAACTTATATGCAAATTCAGTACTTGATGCATTAGCTAATCGTATTAATATCACCCTTTCTTGTGCCTGTTGAGCAACAATGTTCATTTATCATGGAATTGTGGCTATAACATGAATAGGTGTGATGTATCAACGTGTTTTTTAATATAATGTATCTACGTTTTTGTCCATAGAATGAAACGTGGTGTGTTGTATCAAATGTTCAAATCCAAATTGTCATGTTTGCTGCCATAATATGCATAATATTGAACAATCACAGAGTTGTTTTATACAATGAACTTGGCTCTGATCTGGAATGACATTGCTGGAAGGCACATTCCGAAACCAGTTTTTTCTTTAAATAAGTGTAGGATCGAATCAGGTTTCTGTTATACAAGAATATATATATCATTATAAGTATCTAAAGATCAAGCACTATTTTCTTATAAAATGAGTTTGACCATAAGGGAAACACATGTTCATTGTATGAGCGAGCACGTGTGGAGGATGTATTAATATTTGATGTCGCAACCCACAGACAAAACCTCAGGGAAGACCAAATCTCTTCATGAGGAGGGAACCCCTAGGATAAATCTCTTCCGAGATCCCAAAGACTAAATAAGTATCTTCGTGAATAAGGGTCAAAACACCTAAATCTCTTCATGATAATTTGTCAAGGATGATAACGGGATAGAGGAATTCTGGGGGACCCCCTTTGGGAGCTTCGTAATGGGGTATGGCGTTTTATAATAGCGAACTTTGCCGGCTTAGCCAGGCCAAAGCCGGGCGGCTCCCGAGACACCGCAGGCTATAGAACCCTCACCCTTGCCCACTCTTTTGAAGCCTCAGCCACAGCATGACTCGACCCCCGAAGAAACCTTGGCTACGTCGTGCGAGCCCAGTCGTGGCCATGCACCTTCACTGCCCACTTGCTTGGACCAGCCCAAAATGGTGCGTACCTGACGTTCGGGCCGCCACTCGCGGTTCCGCTGGACGATTTGTGAGAACGGGGCGCCACGAATGGGGCGCACGGCTGGGTATTTGCGATGCAAAAGGGCTACTGCCACGGCTACTGCACTTCCTATAGTCAAACAAGTGGCTGGCACGACCCCTTGGATGACTATGTTCCAAATACCAAACAGGTGACTTTCCACCTTGATGATTTCAGGGCGCAGGGAGGTGAAGCATGTTGTTAGGTAGCTTCAAGAAGTGGTCTTCCAAGACTTGACCAGTGTCAAGGTCAGCCTGTTTGTAAAAGTCAATCTTCCAACGCCAGTGACCTATTGGAGTCCCTTCCAGTGACATGTCCAACAGGCCTGTTTGTGACCTGAAGCCAGGGCCTGGGCATCAAGTTGGGTCAAGAACTGAAGAACCAGGTATAAACTACTACTACTACTACTACTACTACTACTACTACTACTACTACTACTACTACCACTACCCACTGAAGAGTTGTGCGACCCGCAGCTTCACGTCGAACATCGATGAACAACGTACAAAACATGTTGAAACGCATATCATATATTCCGGACACTGCTCCAATGATTTTTTTCCGAAGAGAAAACACAAACACACCGAAGGTGCACGGAACCATGGCCATGACATGCCATTCAGACCCAGGCATGACACCGACATACACCGAGCTCCGGTTCACTAAGTGCCGAACACGGCCACCTCCCCGGTGACGGAAAGGAGCTCAAAGGCTCCAGCTGCCAGAGGTGACAACCCCAAAAAGAATTGAAAACGTATGACAGTACTTGGACATCTTTGGACCCTTGGACATCTCAAACATGATTTGTCCGCGGGAATAAAACACATTGAGACTCTACCAGCACCTTTCAACAGGTTTTTTCAGGAGGCTTTAGAGTCTGTGTTTCAAGGCCCAGCTCTGGATCATCCGGGTCGATTCCTCTTCGGTACCACCCCTGCCGGTAGGTCCGGGAAGCGTGACCGCACCTTCCGCAAGGCCTCCCAGCACTTCGAGGATGTAGGGCCCAAACCTTGGAGGACGAATCGTGAGTCGACCCGGGAGTGGAGGGAACTCGAAGTCGTCACCCGGGCGATCTCGGCACGACCCAAGAAACGTGTCAAGAAGCAGAAGACCATCTTGCAAGAAAAGTATCACAAGTACCGCAAAGCAGAAGTACTTCGGAGTCCTCGGAGGGTCCAAATAACAATGGTGTCTCCGCCGCGGGGATGTGGAACCCTCAAGGGGTAGACAGTCAACCCCGGATCTAGGATCCAGGGTATTCAGGGGCATTGCCAGCATTTACAAGCCCCTGCACATATTCCCTCCAAAACATGCCATGACGCTTGCACTCCTTCGGCCCTTGTTTTTGCTGCGTCCCACCCCGCCACCTGGACCCATGTTCTGAACAGGGCTGGAGGCTCCGGGTTTCCACCTTCTACGGAAAACGGACTCTTTCAGCGAAAGGATTCAGCTCATCAAGAACGAACTCTCTTTCACGCAGTCGACTTCCAACTTCCCCAAGGATTTCACGGTGTGATCTACCGTGAAAGAATCGCGCAGAAACACTTCGGAACCCACCGATGCATGGAACATGCTCAAATCCGAGGTGCCTAAGTGATCCAGCACGCAGCCGTCTTTGATGGGCACAGGGCCACCGGCACGCGCGCGCTGGCCGATCGAGGCAAAGGAAGCGGATTCAAGGAAAAGGGATGGATCAATTCAGGAATCTTGGATAATTACAGTGGACTCGGACTGAGGCTTTTAATTCTTAAACTGGTGTCTTACCAATCTCTACCTGTCATCCATGGAACATGGTACTGCAACATGGTGATTTCCACAGCAGGGTTTTTGGAGGGTCCACAAAACGACCAAGTCGCGATCCGCAGGGGAAACCCACCTGGCCATGACTCCCATGCCTGATGGTTGTGGGCCCCTGGGTTTTCAAATTATGAGGCCATGGGGACTCGAAGTTCTGGGCAGCATCGAACCTATAGTCTACAAACAATCACATAAAATAGAACTAACAACTCCAAAGAACAATTTAATCAACATGACTACCAAATACGACTGAAGAAGGGTAAACATGTTCCCATTTTTCATTGCGTTGGTTCATTGCCCGATTCCTTCTCAAAAATATGTTTTTGTCATGATGTCATGGAAATTGGTAGCAGCATGCGCCGGCAAGCTAAGCATTTCCAACTTCACCAAGGCCAGTGCGCAGGATGCATGGTTGGGAATCTGCAATTCTGGAAACCTCATCTGATCTCGGCATCAGTTGCTTGGTTGCCTGGTTGCGCCGAGATAGCACAGGTTTGATGTGAACAATTAGGGTTTCCCAACGTTCATTCACCGCGAGGGTTCCGCGAATCCTCAGAAGGTTGTTAGACAGCTAGACTAGACCCCACAAACCCACCCCAATTTTTTGCTCAGGAGGAGGTTGTAGCCTAGGGCAATTAGGGTCCAATCTGACTTCAACTTATATATATATATATATATAACCCCGCACTCTGCTACTCACTCACTTTCTCACCAGGATCACCACACTCGACATTCCAATCCTCACACGCAGGATCTCGCGCGTCAGAATCCTTCACACCCATTGTGTTCCCCATCACTTCCGTCCTACAGAATCCTCCCCCCTGATCTCACCCCGATCGAGCGTCTCGTGGCCTCGGGATCTCTTTGGTGGGCATCCTTGTCCAAGTCCACTTCCTGTCCCAGATCCATCCATGGGACGTACGTTCTGCGGACACGATTGCAGCCCTACGGATATTGTTGCCTCGTAGCTGTGTTTCGTGGCAACGGTCGTTTTGGAGACATTGGCGTGTGAGCAGAGTGTCCACAAGGGTCCTCCTCAAGAGCGTCTTACGAAAGTGCCCCGCAAGAGTGCTGCACAAGTGTGTCCTACAAGAGTGTCTCCTACAAGAGTGCCCCACAAGACCGTCCTACAAGAGTGTCCAAGAAGAGTGTCGCACCAGAGTTTTCCACAAGAGCGTCCCACAAGATTGTCTGCCACAAGAGTGTCCTACAAGACTGTCCTATAAGAGTGTCCCACAAGGGTGTCCTACTGGAACATGATTCTGGTTGCAGTGACCCCGAATGCTTCACAGTACACAGGACAGGCTCAATACTTAGAAAAGCACAATTGAAAACTTGGTTTGAGCATGCTTGGGTTAGCACACAGGCAGGCCTGCCTTGGGTTGCACGGAGTATGTAGACGCTTCGTTGGCGGAAGAAGAGCGTTAATTCCGATGATTGAACCAGGATAAAGGGATAGCATCAGGATCCGTCACGCGTCTCTTGTCCTTGCATTCTCTCATTGCCTGGAGCGGGAGATGTGAGTGTACAGGGCAACCAACCACATTAGAATACATACTTGTCAGACCGTGTGGTATAGTGGAATAGTGGATTGCATCTTGGCACATCTATATAGCGGTTTCTCCTGGGCAAAAGCCTATAACTGTTCGTGTTTCTCCCCACGTGTCAGGTGAGGGTTGTGCCTGAAAATTCGTCATATTGAAATGCCATGGTGGGGATCACTCGAAGTAAAGGTAATTTCATCTAGCAACCGCCCACGTAGCAAGCATAAGCGTTTCTGTGCTGAACAAGCTGATGCAGCCTCTAAAGTCTGCCAGCCAACCCGCAAGAAGACCTGCTCAATCAGCTTCCAACTGCAGGACCTCCTTCCAAATCGTGAACATTTAAACTGACTGCATATGGTCTTTTTTGGCGGGGGAGTGAGAGGCTTGAAAATGTCATGTTTGTCGTTCTTCCTTTACAGTATCCGTGGGGCCGAGAACACCACTGGCCAAGCCTTCCAACAAGAGCCGGTAAGATCCGATAAGACCACAAAAGCACAAAGGTCCCTAGTCCTTGAAATCCAACTTCGAGAGCGGAGACTTCGCATCGTGAAGCAAGCACAGGAGTTGCACGAACGAGAACCGCTGAGTTGCATGGCTCTGTGCAAGGTTCCTCTGCATGCCCTCCAGCGCTGCATTCTGGTGAGATACAGCCTCACGAACCCGAGTGAAGTACTGCAATCACATTTCCTTGTTTCAGTCAGCTACCCCCGGCGTAGCAGTCGTATCTTACGATGCTGCCAACCAGATTGCATGCAGCAACTGTGCACCCATGATCCTAACTTCATACTCTATCTCTCCCTCTGTGACAATGTTTCGTTTTGCATGCAACTCCGCAGCTGCAACTCGGATCTCCATGCACTTGGTCATCTCCACCCCCCAAAACGATGCTGGCTTCTGGGCTTGGAAGCCTCGTTGGTGTGTTGGAGGTGCATTGAACACCTCTCTGAGAAGTACATGATGTTCATTGACTGATTCTCCAATGAAGCTCGATTGATCTAAGCCTGCAACAGTAGAAGTGGAGGGCGTGCAGAGCACACAAGCGATGATGACCAGAGACATAGCGGTATGGCACCTCCTCGTCGTGTTTGTACACAGCGATTTCACTCGTAGTCACCCGTTTTTTGTCCACTATATGGGTACTGCTGGACCTTCTCCAGCAGCGCCGACAAGCTGACATTTTGCCGAAGTTCGCTTACGATGCCTCACCTGGCGCTGGCAGTTCGCCACGTTGACCGGGGCATTGGTGCAAATCCACGAGATTAAGGTGTCATCCGAGCGCCAGCATTGCAAAGGTCGAGTGCTGCACAAAGACATGGCCATGTGCAAAACCCCGGCTGCGCCGTCGATGTGGTGGGGATCTTCCCACTTGGTCGGGCGCATGAACTGCAAGGAGCAGAACGAAGCATACCAATCCATCATTGCTGGTGCTCCGCATCTAATGAATTTCGGGTATGTTTCCATACTATAGTATATTATATGCCATATATCTACTTCACCACAGGTGTCACATCATCCAAGTTGGCGGTACCTTAATGGTCTGCCTTACCCACACCCGGGTCAAATTCAAAAACTTGGCGAGTATGATAGCTCGCTGAAGTGCTTCGTGCTTTGGGGCGGCGCGGCGCCGTTTGACGCTCTAAATTCTACGCTCGGGGCTCTCAAAAGGTATGCGCCGTTGTCTCTCCTCTACATTTTGCCCTCGGGTGGCTCACACAAGGTATGCGCTGTTGGAATGGCACCTCTCTCCTCTAAATTTTTACCTCGGGTGTCACGTCACTCTGCACTAGGTGTCGTGCATTGAGCCCTTTTTGCACGTCTTCCTCCAAACCTTGAATCAGTCTGCAGGCCACATGCGTGCAAGCATCAAAGCAATCCTTGCTCAAGGCATTGTAGGCACCAATGAATCTGCAAATTCTTTCTGGGAGTTTGTCGCAAAGCTTCTTGCCGTTCAAAGTCTCGGGTCTGCTCTATAGTAAACACTTCTGCCCTGCTCCACATGAGTGCTGGGCCCAGAACCCCGTTCGAGAACGGCTTGGGCAGCATGTTCAGGGCACCGCTGCAAATCTGTTTGTTGCTGGTGGGCTACCCACCCTTTCTTTTTTACTCTTCTTCCTTTGGTTGGTGTGTTGGTTGGTTCAGCCTGCTTGGCTTGTTGTTTGCTTGGGTTTGGAGAAAACACATACAGTGATGGATGGATCATGGACAGGCAGAAAAATGTTACTTTTTGGTGCGTTGGTTTGTTGGTTTGCTTGCCGTGATTGCTTGCGTGATACAGTGCTTGATGGATATGCAATGTTTCTGTTTGTGTGCTTGGATGGATGGATGGATGCTGTGCAAATAAAGGCGGGAGGGGGTACGGGGGAGGGCGCAGCGCTACGGGATGGGTGGTTTTGGTTGCTTGGTTTGTTGGTTGCTTGGTTGGTTTGTTGGCTTGGCCACGTTGTTGCTTGGTTGGTTGGTCGGTTGGTTGGCACTCCGCTGATGGATGGATGCATGCATGCATGCATGGATGGATGGATGGATCCTGTGCTGCCTCACGTTCCGGAGGCGTCCGAGTCAGTTTCCGGCGTTTCCCGTCGTTCCGGACAGTCTCTGTGCAGTTTCCGGAGGGTTCCGAAGGGTTAAAACAAAGGGTGCAGACAAGCGGTGTGAAACACACCGGACGTGACATCGTTCTCTGTGCAGGTTCCAGGGGTTACCTGCTTCACCGGCGGAGGGTTGAAAAGAAAGGGTCGAGGGCCGGGTGAAAAAGAAAAGGTGAAGGGTGAAACAAGGGTGAAACATGCTACAGGGTGAAAATTACAGGGTGCAGGGTGAAAATAAAAGGTTTTGGAAGGGTGGAAAAAAAGGTTCCAAAGGGTGGTGAAAAACGGAATCTTGAGGGTGAACAAAAACAGGTTTCGAGGGTGAGCCCAAGAGTTTCCCACATCCCACAAGAGTGTCTCGTACGAGAGTGTCACACAAGAGTGTCTCCTACAAGAGTGTCCCACAAGATTGCCGCCTAAAAAGGTGCCCACAAGAGTGTCCCACACAAGACTGTCAAGCGCGCCGCCTACAGGAGTGCCTTACAGAGAGTGTTCCACAAGAGTGCCGCCTACAACAGTGTCTTACAGGAGTGTCTTACAAGGGAGTCCCACAAGAGCGTCACACAATGTTGGGCCGTTTGTTTTTGAGTGCGTGTGTGCATTCGGGTTCGTGGGTTCCCTGCCCCGAAAAGGATTGTCCATCGCTGGTGGACTGCAGGGAATGGCGACGTCTAACCGTCCTTGATGAACGATGGCAAATCCTTCGAAGAGAAGGCAAACCTCAGAGCCAGCAAGGCAGTGACATCGGCCACTTAAGAAGAAAAATGATGATCTGTTGTTTCGCCGAGATTCTCTGGAACTGTGGCTTGGTGATTTATGAACCTGATAACTCTGATGCTTGACTTCGGCATGACAGCTGATTAATACATCCGTCAACATCCACCCGTTTCCGTTTAAAGTCTTAAGGTGTCTCGATCCACCCTTTGGGGAACTGTCAATGTAAATACAAACGGGAGCGTCCCCAACCAGAACGGTTTTACAAAGGTCAACTGGCGCAGCTCGCAGAAGACCGATTCAACCATTCAAACGATTCAAACGTCGACAAGAGTGGATTGGATGCTGTTCCTCCTGATCCCAATGCTGGCGCTTCCGTGGGAAGGTGATGACTGACGCTATACTGTTATACTGCTGTCAGACTGGAGCAGGAGCAGGAGTTGCGATGATCACGTGATCACGAGTGGGGTCTGAAGGACTGAAAACGGCCACTGAAACTGCGAAACACTTCTGACTTCTACGTTGCACAGTTCCGCATGGGAGTCTCTGTTCACATTCCCATGTCTTGAGTTCGCTACAGGACATTGTGTGAGTACTTTCGTTCCAGCACTTGGCCAGACTTTTCAAGAGAGGGTTAGATGGCGAGTTCAGCGCACAACTTCGATGGCAAGATCTCGGGTGTTCATGCAAATGCACTCCGGACTTGAGCACCTCAGAAAATTCTGACATCAGTATGGACATTCATTCTGGTGATCAAATCACGTCTCAGCTCATAAGCACTGGTTGAGACAGTCCCAGTCCCATTACCAGTATTCTTGATTCCGATCTTGCGGTCGATGTAGACGTCATGTGAACGTAAGCATCATTAAGGTCTGTGACACCATGGGTGCATCTTTGACTTTGGACTCTGGTGTCAATGAGGCAAAACATGTACTTTCCAGCATATGGTTCAGCTGGTTCAGCTGCTGCTGTGCCACATTGGAAGTAGACTCCAGGATAAGCTCGTAAGTCAGCGTGTGACGCCGCGACACATCCAAGGCATCTGACGAGGTCATTCCAGGCTTCAAATCAGTCAGCTTTGGATTGTTGTCCTTCAACAGGCCATCCTGCTTCTCCTTTCGTCTGCTCACTCTCTGTTTTAACACTCTTTTACCAAAGTGCTATCAGGAGCTGTGACCAATCGATATCTTTCGTGCTTGGAATTTGAGGCGTTTAGCCGTGCTTGAGTGTTTCATCCTTTTGGGCGCCGTTTGTCTTGGTGAGATCAGGTGAGATCGAGTTCAAACCTGCAGTAAAAGCTGCTTATCACCAGGACCCACAAGGGGTGGTTAATGGACACCCCTTAACATCTAAGGGGCTATCAGTAGAAGCCCCTTAGGGTGTCCTGGCACTTATCACTTATCACACAGCTTGTTGTTCAAGACCGTCGCAGGGACACCGGGACACCCAGTGCCCATGCAGCAGCCTTTAGCTAGCTGTCTGCCAAGTCTTCGTCCGCCCTTCTGAGGTTGGCTGGCACAGCGCTTGGCGCATCATCAAGGAATGGTGAAAGGAACCCTGCCAGCATGCAAGACCTGGCCAGGAGAGCCTGAGCAAGTCAATCCATTGGCAAAGTCTGCCTGCTTTCTGATGTTCGGTTTACTTGACCACATTCCTTTACCTACTCGTCCGAGGAACGAAACAGGTCGACTCCAGTCATTAAGTTCCTCTCCTTGCCCAGTGCATCCCAGTTACCACTATTTATAAGGAACCACGGATTCGTTCGGTCGAACTGGTTTTCGTCGAACTGGAACCACTGGGACTCCAGCGAGCTCTCGTGGGTTGCCTGGATGCCATTGGATGCCCTGGGTGGTCTTTACGCAACTCTCATCCACTCTCTATCCCTAGGGATCCAAGTACCTTCTCAGAAGGTGATTGGAGACACTGTTATGTAGGTGCCAGGAGGGTCCAAGTACCTTCTGAGAAGGCACAACTGGATCCAAGTGCTGAGTCTCCCGGACTTGGGCGCCGAAACCTCCGCGGAGCCGGGAGCACCCGTCGTCAGACGGTCGTCGACCCCTGGAGCCCCAGTCGATCTTTCCAACGGGGTCAACGGGGTCAACGTTTTGGCTTTTCCATCTATACAATAACAAAAGACAGGAATTTGGCACAGTTGGAGGATATGTAGGTTATAATTGTAGCCATTTTTTGGGGGGTCGGTCTGTCCCATGTTTGTTCGGGTACGAAGGAAGTCCGGTCCACAGGTCGTTTCCACTTGAGCCGTTGAGCGGCTGCTCGCCCGCAAAAAAAGAAAACATTAGCTGATGAATAGCCCTAAAAATGGATCCACATACCCTGTGAGAAGGTGATCGGGGATGATTGAGGACACTTTTATGTAGCGGCTTAGAGGGTCCAATGACCTTCTGAGAAGGTGGCAGTGGATTTGTAGGGATAGTGCACCAAAAATGCAATTGTGGTTTAGCCGAGTCAAACCTTGACTATATTAAAACACTCTTAGCGTTTTACAGGGGTGCTATCCATGGAGGTTATAGGGGTCCCCATGACCCGTTCGCTGGACTAAACACCACCCGCCGACCTCCGCGATCCGTCCGGGCCTCCACCGAGGTACACCTCGGGTTCGCCGACCGGAGCGACGAACTCGGAGCGGCGAACGACCGGCCTCGGAGCCACGAACTCGGACCCGAAGCAAAGAACGACAGGATGTCACTGTTAGAATGAATGTACGTACCCTGTTTGTACCTTGCGAAAAAGAGACCAGTCGTACCTGTTCTTCCTTCCTTATTCCCGAAAGCACCTGCGAAGGGTTTTTCCTTAAGCACTGCTGCCTATTTCATCTTCCTTAATCTCTTTCTCTTACTTCATCTTCCCCACTCTCTCTTCCTTACTCTCTTTCTCTTACTTCATCTTCCCCACTCTCTCTTCCTGACTCTCTTTATCCTACTTCACCTTCCTTACTTCATATTCTTTACTAACTTTCTCCTACTTCACCCTCACAACATCATCATCTAATCATCACCTCATAGGTTATTAATCTCATATCATATCATATTATATCATATCAGGTTATAATATCATATCACATCACATCAATGTCATAACATATCATATCATATCATGTTTTAATATCATATCACATCACATCAATGTCAGATCATATCATCTCATATCATGTGATAAAATAATATCACATCACAACATAACATATGAAGTAGAAGTATCAGATCAACAATATCAAAGTACATCAGAAGTAGATATTGATAGGTAGGTATTGATAAGTGGGTATAGACAGGTAGGTGTAGGTAGGTAGGTGTAGATAGGTAGGTGAAGATAGGTAGGTGTAGACATCTTCCTTAAGACACCTACCCAACTTCACCTACCCAACTTCTTCTTTATTCTTCTCTTTAGGCGGCGGGGCGGTGCGAGCAGGTCTTACGAAACGCAACCCTCTCGTGGAATCGTGGCCATCGATCGCGCGCGCGTGTGGTGAGACGCGAATCGCGTTTGTCCGTGAGCAACCCTCTGCGGAGATCGTGCGTGTCGATCGCGCGAACGTGTGGTGAAACGTACATTTTTGGTGTGCGCGGTGCGTTCCGCCATTATAATTCTGGTGACAAGGTTTTGTCGATTTTGCGTTTCCCCATTGTAATTCTGGTTTCAAGGTTTGCCCTCGAGCAACCCTCTGCGGAGATCGTGCGTGTCGAGTGCACGAACGTGTGGTGAAACGTACATTTTGTCTGAGCGCGGCTGGGCGCACCATTATAATTCTGGTCACAAGGATGTCGCCAATGTGCGGTCCGGACCGCATACTCATTGGGAAATGCGATTCCAAGGTCTGTGCCCGGTCTGTGCCCGGATCGTTCCCCCATTATAGTTCTGGTCGCAATGATGTCGTGAATGTCACCTCTGAACTTTCTACAATGCGCGCTCTGGACGTCATACTCGTTGGGAACCGCGATTTCATGGTTTGTGCTCGGATCGTTTCCCCATTGTAATTCTGGTCACAACGATGTCTCCAATGTGTGCTGTGGACTTCATACTCGTTGGGAAATGCGATTTCATGGTCTGTGCCC